TGGAAAACGTGCCACTACACGCGCATCTAAAGGCTCGTGCCCAAGATTCCTCGGACTTTGTCCAACCACGCGATCAATGGCATGTAGCGACTGCTTCGCAGAGAAAGCAGTGCTCAGTGATTTACGTGCCACTCCACGATTAGCCCGCGGTGTCTACCAGCTCGGACATTCCAATGTCCAGCACATTGACCGTCTTGGTTCAGTACTCTCGCCAATAGCGCTTTTGTCTCCTAGCAGAGGTGGGTTCATGACTGTCCAAAGCTCCACCAGGAGACGTGCCCAATGTGTTTGACCTCCAATCAATCCATGGCTCATGGTGTTCTAACCATGTCATTCCTAAGATGAGGTCATACCTTGCATCTAAGTCTAAGACTAGACAGCATTCCACGCTGGTAAAGCCAAGAAACTTGACTTTGAGGTCCACAGGGACCTTCGGGACCGTGACACGTGTCCCCGTCACTAAGGGAACAGTGACAGTGTCACCCAACCGCACTTTCAAATCCTCAGCATTCAGCTGACTTCCCTCCACCGTGGAGTGTCGAGCATAATTGCCCGACGATCCGGAATCGATGAAGATATTCCATGGCTTCTCGAAGCCCTTTACAGTCGCCTCCACAACCAGCAAGCCCGGCTTGCATACACGTTCCGTGTTTAAGAGCACGGAGCTCTTCGGGGCTGGGCCCTATTGACCTATGCCTCCCTGAGGCTCAACAGAACTCAGTACTTCCCAGTAGGTCGCCCCGCGCCTACTGAGTGGTGTCGTTTGCCCGCGACGAACCAGACTGGTAGGCGTTGGGGCGATGGTTTGAAAATCCTTGACGCGCCTTGCGCAGCGGGCAACCGTTGGTGGCGCGTGTCTCCACAGAAAAACACCGTCAAATGCATGCTTGCTGCCTGGTAGCTCGAAGCTCTGCTCCCTCGTCCTCAACATAGCTGAGGTCCATGGGCACAAACACGCTCGACGAGCTGTTAAAGTGTGCATTCTAACCAAGTCCTGCCGACTTGAAACTGAATTCGGCATTCAATGCCACATTCACCGCCTCTTCAAATGAAGACGGATGCACACGGAAGACTTCCATTCTGGCCACGCCAGTGCGGAGACCTCCATAAAGACGGTCACTGTGATCGCCTCCGGGAGGGGATCTGCTGCCATCCCGGCAATGAGAGTGTGCATCGCCTGGACAAAGTCTACCAACTCCTTGTTGCCCTGTCGGGCGGTAAAGAAACGCGATCGCACGCGATATGCCTGATTATGCAGCGAGAACACTCGTGAGAGCTGCGATTTCAACTCCGCCCAGGGGAAAAAGCAGCTTCGACCGAAGTGCCGCACGTCAGTGCCCATTCTCGAGCTCGACCACCGAGCTTTGAGATGGC